AAACTGAGTCACCAGTCCTGGATTTTAGCCCTGATATTACTATTTATTAGCCAAAGCAGATCTCATAACCTCTCAGCCTCCACTTTCTAACTTATAAAGCAAAGAGGTTGACTTAGATTTTTAAGGCTTTTTCTAGATCTCAGATTCCACAGAAGTCAATTAAGGAACTTAGGCAAATCATAAAGTATGCATCATGGCTAACACTTATTTACTGCTTACTTTGGGCCAGGCACAAAGTTCTACATACTTTACATGAATTAATTCTCACAACAAACTGTGATGCAGGTACTAACATTCTTTTAAGAAAAGACACAGTCTCTGCTTTCTGGGCTTTATGATTAAGAATATGTACACATAGGAGTGAACTATTGGTAGTATAGGGAACATAGTAAAAAAATATTTTAAAAACAAGAAATTGCCATTGCTCTGGTTCTTGTGGCCTGATATTAATTTCTATTCTGTGACAGGAACAACTGTTGTGGATACAATTCCTCCTGAAGTGATGTATGGTAATTAGATGTGAACAAAGCTTGGATTTAGACTAGGCCCTGCTCGGTGCAAATTATGCAGATACTTTTTGACACCACGGTGGCTGGTCATACAAAATGAGGCTGCTCTCTGACGATGCTGCTCTTCCTCACCCCGGAGAGCCCACTTTCAATGTCGCTATCATCTTCAAGCCTAAATATGAGAAACTGAAAAAATCGGTTACTGGCATTTCTAATCAAATGCTTGAATTAGTTGCAAGAAATGACCCCAAGAGGCAGGTGATTTGTCTCAGGATCCCCCAAAGATGCCCACGTCCAAATCCCTGGAACCTGTGAACATGTTAGGTTATGTGGTAAACGGGAATTAAGGTTGCTATCACCTGGTTTTGAGATGGAGAGATTGTCCTGGATTCTCAGGGAGGGCTCTCTGTCATCACAAGGGTTCTTTTCAGCGGAGCAGGGAGGCAGGGGAGAGAATCAGATGGCAGCTCACTGGGAAGGACTCAACCAGCTTTGCTGGCTTCTAAGATGGAGGAAGAGGGCCACAAGCCAGGGAGTGCGGGTGGCCTCTACAAGGTGGGGAGGGCAAGGAAATGCACTCTTCCTGGAGGCGACCCCTTGATTTTAGCCCGTAGAGCTGTCAGGCAGTAACTCAGTGTTGCGGGACTTTTTCGAAGCAGCAGCAGGATACCACATGTCCCTCTCAGACACCAGCTACCGTCTCCTGTTCTCGGGAAGGGCAGGTTCTCATCCCTGCTTTCAAGGATTTGACGGACTCTTCTGCTGTAGTATATGCTGGTTTCCACTGGTACTTGCATTTCAAGCCTGTCTGATGGATTCTGTGTAAGAATGTACTTCGTTAAAGACGCTTAGGAATGAACAAGCAGGTGGAGGACAATGTCCTGGGAGGAAAGTGACCACAATTCCCCCAAGTAGCCTGTTCGTCCAGCGTGGGGTCAGCCTGACCAGGTGAAGGTCCTGAGTTTTCAGGTTTAGCGATCTGGTCTTTTCCCTTCTCTCCTTCTGTGACCCCTTCCAACTGGGCTGAAGGGAGCTGCACCGACTACTCACAGACAAACACCCAGCGCCCGCCCTGCCTTAAGCACCCGCAGGGCTTGGTCAGTGTCTGAGTTCAGCTTTTTATTAGGTTGGGAGCGCCGCTAACGAGGAGCCTGACTTTCCTGAGGGGGTGGGGACGCACGTCCTAGGAGGAAGGAGCGCAGAGTCCGGTCCTTGTGGGGAGGGGGGTACGGGGACCCACCAGCTGCGCTTGTCCCCCGGGTAGTGTCGGGGGCGGGGACGGGGACTCAGCGGCCAGCGCTCGCCCCCCGGCCAGTGTCGGGGGGAGACGGGGACTCAGCGGCCAGCACGCCACCACCGTCCAGCGCCGAGAGGTCAGGACGCCCCGGAGGACGCACGGCGCACAGCTCCCCGCCCCGCACCCGGGACCGTGCTCTCCTTTCCTTCTTCAGCCGCCGTCCAAGCAGCGTCCTCGGCGGCGGCCGGGGACCCCTCCTCGGAGCCCGGCCGGGACCGCCCCCGTGGGCAAGCCCAGGGTCCAGCTGGACGAACGCGGAGCTCTC